ATATATATTTCAAGCAACTATAATGCTTTAGGAAAAACAACATTCATGTACACAACTAGTGTGAACAGACAGGCTTCTTTAAGCAGATTTCCGTTCATCGATCTAATGATCTTCATGCTTCTCTATATCAAATAATAACAATAGGTCTATCGATTTGAGTGCGGTCGTAGAGGGATAAGAAGGAGAGACGTTCAAATCTAGAGCATAAATGATTGAAATCTACATGAACTCATATCAATATTCGCTCTAAGCAACCAACGGACTGGCCTCGGCTTACCAGTTCCAATCGATGCGAAAAAACGAGCTCATCCACTGTCTCATCCATGTGCTTGCATGATCTGCTCCTCAGAGCTGCATGTGTCTATCAATCACCTAGACGATCACGAATGCTAACACCACATCAATCCCATATCATAGTTACTGCTGGGTTTTGATGTTCTATGTTGGTAGCCTGCAGAATATATGATTAGGTTCAGCTAGCGATGTACTAATATCAGTTGAGTAAAGTCAACTACATACTCGGACAGAGCGGATCAACTCCCTTTCGTTGAACCGTACGACGTGAAAGGAGCAGATTAACGACAAAACTGTGAATTCCAAAGCAGGGAAAATCAATCAACAATATAAAGATAAGGTGCACCACATTGGAACCACACAGAGAGAACCGTTAGCGTGTGTGACCAAAACTCGTCCCAGTGAAAGACGGCGTTTATTTTCAACTAACAACAGTCAATTCAGATAACGGTTGATATTCTAGGGAAATGGAGATGGCAGATGACTTTTGGAGCACAGCGCATCAGAAGCATAGAGTGGAACCTTCTCAACAAGGATAAAATCGGTAACGTACACAGTATTGTCAACCTATGCGTCCTAACGGAAAGCGGGATCCGACACTATGGACAATAGGAGGATTGACGGATTGTGGCAAGGCACCAGTTACCAAAACACCATCCCTCTAATGAGTGGGTTTCCGTTGAATCAACTAGCTGAAATGGTACCCGAGGGAACTGAGGACTCGATTCGAGTTTTTGGTTGAACTGCAGTTATCTGGCATCAAAGCGGTTGATTTAGATCACCGGAGATGAAGAACCTGGTGCACTGTCCACGATTGCTCCCGGCGGTAGTTTGGAGTCAGTTTTCTTGTCTATTGTTCCAGCGATCTGCCTGTCTCAGACAAAACGAGATCTTGGTTCTTAAGGGAGTAACTCTACCAGCACAGGCGCATTTTGCTTGCAGTTGTCCATTGGTGGAGTTTATTTATCTAACCTATAAGCCCTTCTTCATTGAAGGCGGGTTTGAGAACCAGCATTGCAGTACGCTCTGGGAGAGATTCTTTCTTGTATTGAGTCTTTGCGAGGTGAGCTAGATGAAGGGTTTTTGCATGTTTCAACTTCAGCCAAAGGTAAGCTCATAAGCGCTCTGCAGCGATTACCATCGCAGCCGGGCATCTTATACAAGAATAAAGTAAGATAAAAGAACGATGGATGGAGCATTTGGATTGACTGTTCAGTCAACCTTGAAGGGTTTCCGTTGTAGTACATGCTTTCTATATCATATATTTACTCTTAGTCGAACAGTATAAGCTCCACCAATGACCTGCTTCACAAAATTTCGGGCCGCTTTCCAATCGATCCATCGTTGGACAGCTTTAAACGTGGATGGGCGTTATCGGGAAAGAAGCAGAGCTCATAGGTTTTCGACAGCCTTCCGAGGTTCGACAGTTTGAGAAAAACCGGATCACGATATGCACTAATCTGATTTCAAAATAATGATCGGCGGTAAGCACGGAGCGGGAGACAGTTCCACAAAACTGCAAGTGAATAAGCCCGGTGATTTTCAATTCGGTTGTTTCTCAATAAAGCGCATAAATCAGTAAAGGATGAACGGAGTTCGGCTTGCGGGGATGAAACTTCAGAGAAACTCACAACCAAACCACAATGGATCAACCTAAAACCTGATAATACGACGAGACAGACTTTCGTAAACAGAATCCAAACTGGACGGTTGTCACCAACGGTTCAGTATGGCCCTCCTTCTTGGATACCAAACTAAAACGCTGGTCGTTTGTGTAACCTGAGATTGGTCTTCTAGGCAGTGCCAGACGGTTCTTTTCTCCATTTATACAAACTCCAATAAGTCCTATCCTCGGATAATGTAATAATGTGCGAGTGAAGCCCCCTTTCCTTTGCGAATTCCTGCTTGATCGGACTCAACAGAAGGCCATTTACCTTTTGGATTATTCACTCCTCGCATTCAACTTACAGCTCTTAGCCCGTTGATGGACAGTTGCTCCTGTGTTCCACCTTAGCTATTATTATCAAGGCTTCTGCTCCTCTGAAACTGGGTCCACTGCGCTGGTACTCATACTTTTTCCACTTTCATGTCATGTACAAACCTTCCGGCACTCTCATCACGTGGCCGTGCCTAAATGCTGAATTAGTTTTTTATTATCTTTTTTTCCAGCGGGGGTGGAAGGAAGTATGCAAAGGTTCGAGACCTTAACTATCACACTGAATTGCATTGGTTTGGTTTGTGAGGGTAAGTTTGACAAGAGAGATCATATAAGTAGTGTTCACGAAACGGATACGCGATAGGAGTTGTGATATTCAATCATCTGGTAATAGACCGCACAGGACGTCACGATGTGGAGATAAATCCCACCGGGTTATAGACTCAATGAGCAGCAAACCACGAGCAGTAATATAATGTGAGCCGTATGAACACTTCTAGAAGCGAGACCGGTAAACGCTAATACCGAAGTTGGGATCCACACTCAACCAACAGTTGCGTCCACGACAAAGCAAAAGTCGACTTATTGTTGGAAGACCTGGCAGAAGACAGGACTGTGGCAAATTCAAAATAGCAAAAAGAAACAATCCGAATATGCCCATACTAGCATACCAGCACACATATGATGAATGTGGTTTTAACAATCAGGCACAAGTTACATAGTTAATTGATATCGCAACGACGTTTGTGACAACAGGTGACGAAATGCGATAAAAACACTCAAGAATATCATATTGGCTTACATCCATACTTATGTAAACATGTAAATATGTATGCGTAGACATACAGAGACGGACAAACACAGACAGAAGGACAGACAAGAGGTTCTAGTGGCACTGAAAATGAATCGATTTTGAATGCTCCGAGCAACAATGGCACTCAGGTGCGACTCAAGTGAGGGAAACAATCTTGAATGATGGTGATATAAAGGAAGCATGAAAAATGTTGGAATGAAAAGAACAATGTAGGATGGAATTAAGAGCTTGTGATAAAATGTAGCCCATGAATCGAAGGGAGAGTAGGTAGTACGGAACTTTGTGGGACGTCGGAGTCAACGGGGACAAGAGACTGAAGGATCACGTCTGTTTAGATTCTTCCCTTGCCTTGAGCAAGTGGATGCCGTTTCTACTTTTAGTTCAGTACCACGTAGCTTCACGGATCCATCACATTTTAATACTCTTCAATACATTGGTCCGATGTATAGTAGGATAAACATTTCTTTCCGGGATGTGCGAAACTACCGAAAAACGTTTTCTATTTACCGTCCAAGGTGAATGACACCGTTCACTGGACGCGCCGGATCATGCGTCAACAATATACTATTATTATCATTATTATTATTATATTTTAAACCCGTCTGAGGCCAGAGTGTGTGCCAAAGAAATCATGGAACAATT